CTGTTGTTGTAGCGGTCGTCGATTGTTTTGATCACTACACATTAGTTGTGCGTATGCCGATTGTGCTGCAGTACGCACCAACGCTAATCAAGTTGATTGTATTACATCAGTGTGTTTACATCAGACGACGATGTGTGTTTTGAATGATAAACTCGTCTGTGTCATGAGTAGGCGTAATTATTAACATACTGGCAAGCATCTGTCAAAAAATACAACCGTACATTGACAGCTCAAACAGGGCTGTAGCCACAGAAATTAAAGTGGTCAGGTTGCAAGCGAAGCAAGCAAATGAGGCGGAGGCCAGGGGGGCGATGAAGGGCTCACGTGAGGCATTCCAGTGGCCTATGGACCAGGAAAATTATTCTATTTTGACAATTAACTAACAGACCAATTTACATGATGTTCTGTAATAGTACCTTTAAAAATATTTTATATAAAAATATGTTTTAAACTATTATTAGAACTATGATGAAGCTAAACAATAACACTTTGAATTCAAAACAGACAGGTTTATTCAGGAGAAAAATTGTTAATTTTTGTTATTTTAGTATTTTGCTTTTTGACAATGACAAAATCTAAGATTCCATCAATGAACGAAAAATAGTATCGCTAATTCTATGGTACACTTCAATCAATACGTATCAATTTAATAGGTGCATTACAAAGCGTACCTGCTGTATGTATTAATAATGTTACATACTAGAACTATCATAAATAAATATATGGAAGGCATGTTTTTTTTTTTCTTGTTTCCTGTCAGTTGACCAGGCAATAGTGAAGAAATGAATAGAAAGTCCTAGGCAAGTGTATAATAAATAGGAACCTTTAGCCTGATTTTTGCAAAAATCTCATTATGTATAGTTTGACCTACTTGATTATTTGGATAAAGCAAAGCCCATATACACACTTTCAACTGAAGAAAAAAGTGCATCCTAATGCATGCTAGATGCATGCTAATGCTTAATTAATTATAAAACTTATACTAAAGAGAAGAAAATATTATATAAACTATCATTAAAAGTTTACCATAAATTTCAGACTTGTGGTTCCTGAATTATGTCAAGGAGGTAGTAGGTTGAGTCTAATAAATACTGTAGTAAACATACAGTGGAATTTAACCTTTCTTCCTATTCAAATCCTAATAAATTAACTAAAGCTTGTCAAAAAAGTGGCCAGGTTGAAACCTTGCTGTATTTTTTAACTGTTTTCTGTACAGCCTTTTCATTAGGCCTATACCTGTCTCTTATACACATCTAGATGTGTATAAGAGACAGGCCTAGGCCTACATACATATGTAGAAATAGGCCTATGTAATGCAAAATGTAATCATCATATTGTGTGTGCAATACTAATAGAAACAAAATCAATTCCAAAAATGGCTGAAAAAAAGCTGATTTTCCGGAATTTTAAACACGCTTTTTACTTTGAGTGATTCAGAAACATTCATTCGCTTGCTATCACAACATGGACGCCCTATTTCAAACAAGAAATTATGATTCAGAATCATTAATTTGCTTGGCTTTCACTCAACGGTTAAAACCACAATAAAGCAATTGAACATTAATAAAAGTATAATACACAGTATTTTACAACCATAATTATATTTAATATTAAATATTTA